ACGAAGCGGAACGAAGCGGAACGAAGCGGAACGAAGCGGAACGAAGCAAACCGAAGCGAACCGAAGCGAACCGATGCGAACCGACGCGAACCGATGCGAACCGACGCGAACGAGACGAGACGAGACGAGACGAGACGAGACGTGACGTGACGTGACGAGACGAGACGAAACGAAATAAATATTTATTAATGTAAAGATCGAACACGAATAAACATTCTCGAAAAACTCAAACGTGTGCCGGTTTGGACCAACTGAACTAAATATCTAGTCAGGAGACCATACGGATTTTAGTTTTAACAGCTTCCTTGTCGTAGCGCCACCTGTGAAAAATCTATGAAGATTTTTCTTCATTCAACCTATTTTGTCTAGATTGGCAAAACAGGACCTATACTTCCGTTCGCCGTCCGATATTCGGCTCGGAATACTTCTGTGGTATGTTGAATCACTCTGCAATATTTTGAAGGCATGCGGTTTTTCTATGATCACGTCTTGTACGATCCTGGATTTTTCCTCGTAGAACGAGTTGCAGTAGAGAGTATTGATCACTCAGCAAATAAATAATACTCGACCAAATTAAAAAAACATATGATGCGAATGAAGCTTCATATTTGATATTGTGTTTTCATTTGTTCAAGTATTACTTATTTATCAGAAATTGTTTCGGATGTATGTCGGATGGAGAACGAGAGAAGACAACCCATGTTCTGTATAGAACTTGTCAGATCGAAGGAATTTTTCCTTTTGTTCGATCTTTATATTAATAGTCATAAGTACATAAATGAAAATATAAATTCAACTTTAAATTACTATAACTAATAAGTTGTTTGGAGACATCTACCTGTTCACTGTTTCTAAGCACGCTTTTAAAAAACAGGCACACAAAATTTGTATTGGCACGATCACATACAAAATTGTTGTCTATTTATGCTTATCTACAACATTATGATTCGAAAATATAATTGCACTTTATACACTGTATTTTTAATACACTTAGCACAATATATTTTGTACATTACCGATTCAAGTACACGTAGCATTATATATTGCAGTTTAAAGCTCACAATATTTTAAGTAATTTAAAAATGCTTCTATTCATTTTCTAACCTTGACGGTTTCTAACACGATGAACGACAGCTGAATACATTTTTTGTTTTCCTATCACAATTCTTGTGATAATAGAAAAGGCAGAAATTGCATTGAAAGGATCATTTTTTAGTAGTTTCAACACTTGTGACAAGTTGTTTACTTTAACATGTCATTACTACGATAAAACAACACGCAAGACTGTGTGTTTGTGATTTCGGCATCTAAAATTAGTGTTACCTTGTTCACTCTTTACTAATGTACTAAAGTTAAATGTACGGCCAACGGCACATCACACTACACATTTTTGTTAGAAAATCGCCTCCAGTGCAACGGAACAAGATACGTCAATGTGTAGCTTGATGTGCTAGCGTGTGTACCTACTTACGCCGTCGCAATAACCAGAATTTTTTTAAACGCCTTCAAGACATTCCATCGAAATTTATATTACGTCACAAAAATAGATTAATTAATGCTTCCAATGTCAAGATTAACTCTACATTCCTCTAGTCCACATATCATGGCTATAAAAATTTATAATCAACTACCTGATGCACTGAAAAACGGAACTAATTATAGAATATTTTTAAAAAACTAATGGAATTATTAATGAATAAATGCTATTATAATATTAAAGAATTTTTGAACGGAACTCTTTAACAAAAAGTTTTTGCATTTGAAAACAGCTCTTACTCTCTTCCCTTCTATTTTGTTATGCCCGAAAGGGTCCATGATGTGTGAACTTTCTATTATATAACACCTCGTATACCATTGTGGAATGCATAGACATTGTATTGTATTGTACTTACCGATAACACTTTCCATAATATTATTTAATGAAGTATAAACGAGGGAAACCTGTCATTAGCCGTACTCTTAGCCTATTGTAAAATACCTTATGTAACGCCGTTGGTATTCTTAATAAATAAAATAGTAAAAAAAAATACGAGATAAATGACAATCGGTTCCTTTAAGAATCAATGTTCTTTGTGCAACAAATCGAGTGAAACTCGAACTAGTGAGTGCATTAAAACGCAATATAATACATTAACACAGACAACTGCCCATTCCCTACATCTAACAGTTTCATGCTTTCTACATATACAGGTTAACAAATAAATAATCGTTATTGCGGAACAAAGCGTCCTAATTTGTCTCAGGCTTCCTTAAGCCCGCCCCGTTTTGCCCTATCCAGTCCCACGTAGCCTCGTTGTCATTTCATCACGGCGGTTTTTCTTTTTAGAAAAATACTAATAAGTGGAACTGAATGTTATTAACTTACTCTACCTTGTTTAACAGAAAAAAAATACTTTTTTGCATCTTGTATTATTAAGTTAAATAAACTAATTTTAAGGTGAATTTTAGTTCATGAAACAACTTTTAATATGAGATATTTTTAATATAGATTTAAGATAAGGACCATCAAATTGGTTCTGTGTGAACACTTTTGTGTCGTACTTGGTACTTGGTGTAACGGGCTGGTCGTATCTACTTAACGTTTTTTTTCTGTTCTGCGTAGACTTCTTGTGTTTCTAATATGTTTTCTTTTTTATATAAATTTCTCAACATTAAATATGTTTTGACAGACACATTGATAGTCATTTAGCTAAGTTTAACTGTAGAGTAGAAACTTCATGGAAAAGATACATTATGTTTTATTCATATATTTAAACCTCAATTAAGCTCCGCAGAGGTCGTGGATTCGAGACTCACACGTTAGAGTTTCCCTGAATTTATGTGCAAAATAAATTTGATATTTATCTGCAGCTTGAAGGAGGTTTGCAATCATCAGAAAATGTCTGATGTCCCCAACGCGCATTAGGCCAACGTGGCGATTCTAAATTCCCCTCGCCTGAGAGGAGACCCGTGCCCAGCTGTAGGACGTATATGATGACGACGAATGAGTTGATGATGACGAAGCTCCATATTTTGTTTGTTGTGAAATATACCCTTCAAAACTAATTTATATTAAGTCTATTATAAGAAAGTATTATGGAAATAGGTACACATAGGTACTATCTGCGTAATGTGGATTATTCCATTTATGGAATGTGAAAACGTTGGTCACGACCTGCCTAAATGGGATATACTTTCGTTGAACCCCAATTAATGTCTCATGCACGCTTTGTAGGTTAGAATGGAACCCTGGCGGTCGATATAAGCCACTTTGGGAATCATCAGTTTATATGGACCAGTGTAGCGCGTGTTCAACGTTATTATTATCAACAAGTGACATCGCGCAAATATATTACGTGTATTCATTGACTTACAAATAAATGGACGATGGGTCTAATACAAAAACCACGAAAAAAATGTCCCAAGTCAACCTATTCGAAATTTAAATTGTTATGTCATCGCAGTATCGCGCTGTCCGTAGAACAAATGAAGACTAAAGCGGAGTGTCGCGCTCTGTATACG